AGACACACACAATACAAATATATAATTTACAAAAATTCTGTGCGTCTCCTGGGGTCTAAGCCCCCCTTGTCCTTAAAACCTAGTGACGCCCCTGCTTTCTAGTACACTACAGGTACATGGTGCCTAGTGTACTTGATATACTTGAACTTATACTCAAGTATACTTATTAAAATGAACTTCAAGTATACTACTTTTTGCTAAGGTGTGTAATGCTCACAGTCATAGATAATTAAAACTGGACAGGAAGTGCCCAATCCTGGTTCTGGAGGACCACGGTCCTGCATGTTTTAGTTTTCCTGCTCTTCAAGTTCTGCAGAAGCCTGGTAATCACTCATTATTTCAAATCGGATGTGAAAGCAGAGAGAGATGTCACATTAGGATGTTTCTTATGGTTGGCCTCTGGGGCCATAAAACGGGTGTGTATTTACGTGCAAATCCTAACGCGCGGTGCCGTAAATAACGCGCGAACGCGCGGTGGGTTAGGGTTAGGGTTGGGCTTAGGGTTAGGGTTAGGGTAGAAAACGCCACCGCGCCTTTGCACGTTATTTACGGCACTGCGCGTTAGGATTTGCACGTAAATATACGCCCGATTTAAGGCCCCAACGGCCTGCCATAGTTTCTGTCAACATGAGTTTTGTAGTGTAGGCCAGTGGTTCCCAAAGTTGGGGTCAAGACCCAAAGTGGGGTCCTGAAAAGATTTTCTAAATTAATTACATTTTTGCCTTAGTTGCCTAAAATGTATAAATGTGAATAATAAATATTGTTACTATGCCCATGTTTAGATGACCAGATACAAATGTTTATCATCCAAAAATAGTAGTGGGCTCAGGTCTCTGCTTGTTACTTTGTGGGTCAGAAGCTGAAAAGTTTGGGAACCACTGGTGTAGGCTACAGTCAGACAAGACTTAAAGGGCAAAAAGTAAATAAGTAAACCTCAGACAAGTGGAAACTTCTCATATTTGAGGTGCGTGCTTTGAAACATCTAATTTTAAATAATAAGGCTTCTATAGAGCTTGAACATCTGCTGAAAAACAAGAAAACAATGAAGGATGGTGGCCCGTTTCACCTGGAACATGAAAAATGCTGTTGCAATAAAAACACAATATAAATTGTCAAAATCTGCATTGAACCCCCGGCATGTGTTTGGTAAAAAACCCCAAACAATAACAAACAGGTTAGTCTATATTAAATATTATAAACAAATAAACTAGTTTATTTGTTTATATAAATTAAATACATAAATACATAAATATAGGTTACATAAATAAAAGAAGTAAAAACAGTGACGTTTCTTATCCTTATTTTTATTAAAGAGGAAACACTCCAATCCTTTCCCCCGCACTTTAAATTTAATTTTTGTTGAACTCACAGCACGCTGACGGACAGAGGCAGGTCCCCCGCCGCTGGCGCCCTCTCCAGCCCGGTGTTGGAGCAGTTGACCAGGCAGAGCTGCTGGGGCCCCGCCGCGGGCGCGCAGCTGCAGTTGACGGGACAGGGCTCGCAGCTGCGGCCGCCGGGCCCGTCCGCTCCGGAGCCCCACGCCTCCAGGCAGCAGCAGAGCGCCACAAGCAGACCGGGAAAGAGGCCGAACCTCGGGACGCAGACGCCATGATGTTTTTGCTTGGATAAAGTCTGTCCATTTCCACCAGGCATAGCTCACTCACATCTCATCGCCTCTGATGGTGGAAGTCCTCTCAGGGAGCGAAGGAACAAAACGCACAAGATCCAGGACCCTCCTCATGTGAGGGGAAAAGATCAGAAGAAGTTCAAAGGATGAACTTCTGACTCCGTGATCTGCTTTTATCTTCGCCTGTAAGGCCTTGTAGTTAAAAACCTCCTCCTGAAAACCTAACGGACCGTCTCCACAGTCTTTCCAGAGGGGAAAAAAGAAAAAAAAAAGTTTGGGAGAACTTCCTCTCTCCTCCCACAACTTCATGCAGTTCCCCCAAACCACCACAGGCAGGACTGATCAGGAGCCAAACACAAAAATATAACAACCAAAATGTTTACTAACATGATAAATCCCTGATTTTTTTTCATTTATTTAAATACATTTGCGCAATTTCTATACTTTTTTCTTTAAAAAACAAGGCTTTGAGATCTCTACATTTCGTTCCCAAATACTGAGGTGGGGTGTTGAAAAGATTTTCAATATTAATTTAATTTAAAAATGAATATAAATTACAACGAAGTGTAAAGTTAGTGAATAAAAGTAGCATTTCTTTAGCAAAAGGTAGTATATGGAAGTATCCATTAAGTATACTAATTTTAAACTTAAATTTAAAAAAGTATCCCTCCAGTTTACTTTTTATGTACTTATCTGAGATATACTTAACCAAGTTTCTATTACACTATACTTGGCGTGTACTAATAGTTTACTAAAGTTTAAGTATATTTAGACTTTAAGTATAATATATAGTATAATATATAGTGTAGGAGCTAGGCTTATGTTAAAATAAGCCTTTCTACATACTTCTCATAATAAGTTTATGAGGAAAGTTTTACCAAGGTATTTTCTCATTACTTTAATATCTTGACTGTGCGAAGTGAAAAGTGACACAATAAGTGGACGTTCAGACTAGTTCAAGTTGATTCATAAAAGATTATGCAATCATTTATTTACACAAATTGAACAAATCATAAGTACACTTGATTGTGGTTATTCCTATAACAAGCTTCAAAGTTAAAATGAGGTAAAACTCGCATCCGAATTTTAATTCACATTAAACTCAGATTACTCATATATAGACAGTAAAACGTCAGTTCTGATGTTAACAACCAAACAATTTTAATGGCACTCTATATCTTAAGTTTTGGCAAATAAAGACAAAGAAAAGGAGGAAAATAAGGTTAGTGTTATACCTACAATAGTATGGTTTAAGTATACTCTATACCAGGGGTGCCCAAACATTTTCCCCGAGGGGGCCAAAATGAAAATCTATCCAGAGCTGCGGGCCAAATGCAGTTATATAATACATGAAATACAAACACTTTTAAAAGTAAAGTCCTTTATTTTTAACCATTAAGCTGTGCAACGGCCCTCTTTTGTTTTAGTTTGTGCACTTGGAGAAAGTCTGCCATACGCTCAAGTAGCAAAGGCTCATGGGACGTTTTATAAATTGATAAAATATGAGTTTTGTGGCCTTATAAAGTGTGCAAATCTACATGTCGGGTTAAATCTGATCTAAATATTTTTTGTTGTCATTTCATGTTTCTTGTTTAATCCTAATAAATCAAAGATATGTCAGCACCATGACTGAAAACTACCTTCATACAGCCCTTTTATATAGTCATTTGACCAATGGAAACACTGTGTTTCTACATAGGATAACAGGTTACAACCTTGTAACTTTGGCAACTGCTGGTGGGCCAAATCAAATGGCTTGGCAGGCCAAATTTGGCCCGTGGGCCCCACTTTGGGCTCCTCTGGTCTATACTAATGTTTAAACTTTTGGTCAAGATAAAGTTTATTAGTACACTTTTCACACAAACTGGTTTATTTGTAGTATATTTCAAGATTAAACTAAAACTATACTTAGATTACTTTCAGAATACTTCTGAGTATACTTTCATAAACTTTGTGGGCCAATTTAATTCTAGAAGTATACTTGTTAGTAAACTGCTAGTACACATCAGTATTCATGCTAAATAAAAGCACACTAAGGGAATTACACTTTTATATACTTCAGTATACTTAATGCCATGTAGTATATTTAAAGTATACTTAAAGTATACTTTTTATAAACAAAAACTCCCAATTTACGAACAACTTTTAAATCAATATACTTTCTAGTACATTAGAGGTACATGGTGCCTGGTGTACTTGATATACTTAAACTTATACTCAAGTATACTTATTAAAATGAACAAGTATACTACTTTCTGCTAAGGGCTGTTTTGCTGTAGTTTATTTGACCTGATGACAATGAATATCAACTAAAAATAATTGGGGGCTCAGGTTTGTGCCACTGGGGCAACTGTGGTAGAGTGGTTAGGGGAGTCGTCCTGGAACTGGAAGGTCGCCGGTTTGATTCCCATCAAGTCGACTCAGTCGTTGTGTCCTTGGGCAAGACACCTTACCCGCCTTGCCTACTGATGGTGGTCAGAGGGTCCGGTGGTGTCTGTGTATGGCAGCCTCGCCTCTGTCAGTGTGCCCCAGGGCAGCTGTGGCTACAATGTAGTTTGCCATCATCAGTGTGTGAGTGTGTGTGTGTGCATGTGTGAATGTGTGTAGTGTGAAGCGCTTTGAGTGTCCTGGATGGATAGAAAGGAGCTATACAAGTACAGACCATTAACCATTTGTTATTGGTTTAAATGTGTCATAAAGTCTGTGACTTATTGCCAAATACTGATGCAGTCATCCTGTCCACATGCTTATTGTGTACGGGCAGCAGAAGGGTTGTGCATTTGATTTTTACTGGCTGTTGCAGTAATCAAAATAACTCCATAGATGCTTCAGTCCTTTAGTCCTATTTCTCCTCCAGGCTCAGGATTTTGAACTAATGCAATAAATCTTTATTCATCTTCTCAACTCATTGGCACCAACTACAAAACCCTTGCTTCTTCTCAGAGCTGCTCCATTCTGTGTCGGTGTTTACTGGCTGTTAGACAAATTATGGTCCTGTTGAGATACAAAACTTTGTTTTTGTGATGTGCAAAGGAGAGACAGCAGGCCTGCTGGTGCAAAGACCAGCAACACATATTTTAAAACCAAAAAGAAACATTTTTTACTTGCAGTGGTCAATCTTTCTAAAAGCTACCAATCCACGGTTCAGATAATAAAAGCTGCATGTCCAGAAAGGGGTAGCTTCACCTTCCTGCACCCAGAGAGCAGAATAAACTGCAGAAACCGATGAAAATGTGTCAAATGTGAAAGAGCTGCTTCAGAGTCAAAGCGTTCCTGCCCTCCTCCTCTGTTCCTCCTGGCAGTGTTTCCTGAAGCAGTGCGCGGCACGTGTTTGAGGCGTTTCCTGGGTATTTGACTTGGCCAGGTCCCTCTAATCCTCCCTGCAGGCATCTGGTGCTGTGCACAAAGAAAAAGAAGAGCCACGCAATATCTCTCATCCTCTGCGGCTCCAGTTCTCTGTGAGGAGCTCAGATTGTAGAATCAAAACAAAGTGGAGTGGAAGAAAGAATGTACGAAATGTTTCAGGCCAGTCAAAAATCTGAAGGACGTTTTTCCTCTTTGTAAAATGATGCAATAACGTTTTGAACTGCAGGTTGTGAATTTATGATTAGAAAATGAATATTTAAATGCAAGACTGCAGTAATGCCCTTTGGACACTTTTTGCTGTTTTAGAGCAGTGGTTCCCAAAGTTGGGGTTGAAACATCAAGGTGGGGTCCTGAAAAGATTTTCCGAATTAATTACACTAAAAAATGACAACTAACAACAATTTTTTGCCTTTGTTGTTACAAAAAAAATACTAAAATGGATAAAAAGAGAGTAATAAAAATTGTTACTATGCTCTTGTTTATTTGACGTGAAAACAATGTTTATCAACCAACAACAGCTGGTGGCACACGTCTCTGCTGCTGGTATTTTGTGGATCAAAAGCTGAAAAGTTTGGGAACCACTGTTTTAGAGCATTGATACGAACATTAGACCCTAATGTGAGTTCAACAAATATAGGAACAGTTTTCAGCTAAACTTTGGTCCAGCAGATGAGATTTTCTGGTTAAAAATGTTTTTGGAGCAGACAGAGCAAGCCTGAATATATGGAAGCCCTTTTCTGCCACCCCGATAAAAAATAAATAAAACTTGTATCTCATAATTATGACTTAGCTATCTCGTAATTATGACTTAGTATCTTATAATTATGAGATACTATCTCATAATTACGACTTAGCTATCTATCTCATAATAATGAGATAGCTAAGTCATAATCATGAGATACTATCTCATAATTATGAGATAGTATCTCATAATTATGAGATAGCTAAGTCATAATAATGAGATAGCTTTATGAGATAGTATCTCCATAATTATGAGATACTATCTCATAATTATGAGATAGTATCTCATAATTATGAGATAGCTAAGTCATAATGATGAGATACTATCTCATAATTATGAGATACTATACTATTATGAGATACTATCTCATAATTATGAGATACTATCTCATAATTATGACTCAGCTATCTCATAATTATGAGATTATGAGATAGCTAAGAGATAGCTAAGTCATAATTATGAGATACAAGTTTTATTTTTTTATCAGGGTGGTGGAAATGGGCTTCCATATAAACAGAACACCAAAAACTGAGGACATGAAGGGAAATAAAAACTGGGACGTTTTGCTAATAAGGTAAGACTGTTTTTAAAATAATCTGTTTAGACTGTATGTTACTGTGCTAGCTCTGTGCTAACACAGAGCTGTGGTTTAGAAATCTGTAAGTTAGTCTTGAAGGCCTTGGATGGTCAGTTTTAAAAGAAATTATATGGGGAGACAAAGGATTACTTCTGAAGATATACCTGTTAGAAATTGTTTATTTAAAGGTATATCAGGAAGATTAGATTCCATTTTAGACACAGGGATTGTTAGTTTTTATAGGCTTATTTTCATGCAAATTTTGATCATGACAAAAAAAATCACTTACTTTTCATTGCAGCACATTCTGACTCATTTTGCCAACACAGGCCACATATATAAGAAAGATAGAAATAAAAAGGATTAAGAATCCAAACAAGAAAACAACTAAAATAAAAGACTAATGAAAATAAATTGTACGGCAGCAGAATGAAAAACTAAACAGAACAAAGAAGCAGATCACCAGAAACAAGCATCGACAAGGAGCCAAGAAACGAATGTGACATCACCAGTGAGCCAAGAAGAGATGAGCAGTTTCCAGAGTGGGTACAGGTGAGGCTGATTAGCAGAAGAACAGGTGTGAAAGATTAACTGAAGGTAAAGATGGCTGAAGATGGCCAAT